CGGTCTTATGACCTTGGCCTTGAGGAATCACACTTAGAAAAAAATGAAAAGAAAAGAAAGAACAAGGGGCAAGCACTTGGAAAACAAAAAAAAAATATTCATTAAAGAAAAAGAGGGCTTTGCGTCCCTCAAGCTACAAAAATAGAAACAAAAGTACAAAGAAAGAAAAAAAATCTAAACTCCTAGAGGTCCAGTGACCTTGCCACCAATGCCCCCTCTAATGTCTCCGAAGAGTTCGTCGATGCTTGCAGAGAAGGAGTTGGCATTGTGAGAAGCAGGTACTACGTTGGCTGGAGTAGTAGAACCATCAACCTGAGGGGCAGGCATAGAGCCAGAAGTAAGAGCAGGCACAAAGTCAGAAGCAGGAGCAGAAGTAGGAGCAAGAGAAGGAGGAAGAGTCTGGAGAGGAACAACTTTGGCAAGTGTCGAGGCCACAACCTCTATAGTTGGTGCCGAGTTTGACACTTGAAAAATTCCAGCATCTTCAACTACAAGTTCAGTAAAGGCTTGCACTATCTCCTCGAAGGGAATGTACTTGTGCTCCTTGAAGAGTGCAGAGTCGACAAGGACCCCTACAACTCGAAGTGCCTCATCTGAGCCAGCCTTGAAATATTCCTTCTTATTTTTCTCGAAGGCCATCAAGATGTCATCGGCACAATGGTCGACGATCTCTTGCTCCTTCGTCCTATTCGCCTCCAACTTTGCCCTCATCTTGTCCAACTCTTTGGTCAGAATGACACAAGTCTACTCCAACTTGGTCATCTTTGCCTCCGCCTTCGACAACTGCTTTGTCGCTTTGGTTATCCTCTTCTCTGCGTCGATGAGAGATGCCTTCACCTTCTCAGCATCCCTCTTGGTAGCTTTGCTCTCCTTAAGGAGCTTAGCAATCTGGGCTACTTGGGAAGACAGAGTCTTGTCTCGGATAGCCACATCTTCCTTCACCGAAGCTAGAGCGCCTCAGACCGCTTCCAGCTCAGCCTGGAGCCTCTCACCCTCTTGAATTCTCTCCTGATGGGCATGGAAATGCTCGACGATGACCGAGATGTGTTGGGTAGTCTATTAAGCAAAGGAAGTAATAGTCACACCGATGAAAGGCTACAACCAAAAAGAAGGAAAAAAATTACAAGTGTAGAAACTTACCACTAGAGAGCTCTAGATAATGGAGCAGAAGAGTTGCTTGCTCATACACCCCTGATGCACAGCCATGTCGGTATCAAAAAGGATAGCCTCACTCACACCGGCTTGTTATCCCGATCTCGGGCCCTTTTATGCCATTTTGGGCAGTTGGCACCTGAGGAGGAGGAGGCGTCAGTGTTGAGGTTGAAGTGGGCGTCGTTGTGGTTGGGGTGTACGCCGATGTTGGAGGCGGGAATAGGAGTGTCCCTGCCTCTATCAACACCATCATGTCTTTGCTTAAATCTCCTCTCCTCATGTTGAGGATTCTAATTATGCATTGACCACGTCCTGTTAGTGTTGGTAAGACTAGGGCATTTGATGGGGGTGGAGGAGGAGGAGGAGGAAAGGGAGTACGCCCCTTGTTGGGAGGGATGTTAGAGCTTGTTCCTCGGCCCTGTACGGCAAACCTTTCCCTGAGCATACCAAGGGTGATGCGAGGTCGGTTTGACATGGAAACCTCGAGTGCGTCTTTCTTCGTCTAAGTGTTGAAGGACTTCGAAGTCTGGCCAAGTCTCTCTGCCATTAGAACAAAGACAAAGGCAGCCTAAAGTGATGAAAGTTGAGAAGTGAGAGAGAATCTGATGCATTTGTTGTTTACCACTGCTTGGGGCACCACAAACCATCATACTCGAAGTTGGCTCCTCTCTCCCACTGACCACCAAAGACCAACAAGTTGTCCTTGTATCCTTTGTCAGAGTCAGGGAGATGTGTCACAAGGTACATGGACGGGTCTCAGACTTTGAGGTAAAACCTTTGCAGAGGCATTACCCTTAACAAGGCGTAGCAGAAGAGGATGTCCTCCAAGCCGAGGTCGACTCGAAGGCATTCATTTAGAGCCATTACCCCCATGATGATTCTAAAGGTGTTGAGGCAACACTGTCCCGAGAAGAGATGGAATAGGGATAGAAAATGGAGGAGGAGTGAATGGAGAAGGAACCTAATGCCATATTCCATGATGGCCTTAGTATAGAAGAGCATGATCGTCTCAGTGCCAGCGTTGACGTTGTGGAGTCCTAGGACGAACTCATTTACAGCCACCCCAACGAGAATGGAATAGTGAGCCTTAAAGTTCGTGATTTGCTGGCGAACCTTGACTGTGTACTTCCTCGGCCTGGAGGTCTCAGCCTCGTCGGCCCTGACATCCTGACTACTACGACATCTCGACATGACTCATAACTGAAGAAGATAACACAAAAAAGGTGCTTTTAAGGGTTGGGAAACCTAAAAGGCACTACTGACGGAACAAACAACGAAAAAGAAGGCTAGGGGTTACACGAGGCTACCATAATAGAAATAGGGGAAAGTAGAGAGATTATGGTCACCAGAAAAGAGGAAGAGAGGAAAAAAAATAGTTAACTCACCAAACCCCAATGACCCTGCTACAGAGGGTGAATTTGTGGCTTCCTTCGTTGATGATTTCTGAGGAATCGATGGCTCTTCAGGCGAAAGCAATCGATTCTCAGATGAAAACTCTGGTGGAAGGGTCAAAGCTTACGAAGAGTGCAAAAATGGGAGGAAAAAGTAAAGGCTCTGCTTAAATAGGAGAACCAACCCATCATTGTGCACGAGACACGAAAGAAAGTGCATTGAATGGACATAATCTCTAAAAAAGGGAAAACGACTGCACAGTAAGGGAAGAGGCAAAGCCCTTTCATCTTTTCACGCCATGTCACCCATGTCGTACGAAGATCAAGGGCTGAGGGCAGTTGATGAGACATTTCTAAAACATCAGTAGAAACCAACATGTGTCCTCGGTACAAGAGCCCTCAGAATGCTTGAATTGGGACACGTGTCCTCGGCGTTAGAAGTATGGAGGTCCCGAAGGCTGACACGTGTCCTTAATACAAAGGGTTTTGTAGAGTCCCTGCGAGTATGTCTATCAAAATTCGATACGACACGATTAACCAACACAAATCAACACGAATTAAGCAGGTTTGGACGAGATCTTAACGGGTTTGAGTGATAAACGGGTTGACTCGCTAGAAATGTTTAATAAACGGGTAGTGTTTAGGTGAGATCTGTCAAAATGTTTATCCGTTTAAATATAATTAATATAATAATAAATTAATAATTATTTAAAAAAATTAGCCAAAAAAAAAAAAAGTAAAGAAATTAATACAAAAAAAAAGAAACAAAAAAAGTAAAACAGTAGTTTAACGACAAATGAGGGGAGATGAAGAGCAGTTCAAAAACAAAGGCAAATCAATATCTTTTATTTTTGTCCCCCATCATCAAATGAGAGAAGATAAGAGGGCTGATTTGTCTATAAAAGGCAGTGATTTCTTGCCTTTTTTTTAGCCTTCAAGTTTGATTTTTATGTAAAATTTGGCTAAAAAATTCTCTTTTTTTGAGGTAAGTACAGCTGACAATAAAAAAAAGTGAAGTATTAAAATTTGTTGATAAATTTTTTTTAAAATTAAATGGGTTACACGAGTTGTGTTCATGTTGAAATTTTTCACTCGTTTATTAAACATATCGTATACGAGTTTACATGTTTTTCACCCGTCACTCATTTAATCACCCCTACCTGCAAGTGACACATGTCCTCGACATATGTCACCTCGAAAAGTCTAGATTGCGACATGTATCCTCGGTGTGATTGACTCCTCTGAGGCCTGTTACCTAACACGTCATCTCGGCTTAAGGATCCTAAGGCAGAGGTGTTAGAATGCCAACTATTGTTACTTGGAGTTAAACTAGGTCAAGAATCATTGATTAGTCTTCCCAAAGCAGTCATAATGGCAGAGATGCAAACCCACAATGACAATGTTACACGTGGTAAAGAGCCTAGAAACGAGGGCCCATAGACGAAGATGACCTCACTTCTGCGCAACCATTGCAGTTAAGCATTAAATAATCCCTCAGGAGGATGAGACGTAATAAATGCTCGAAAAGCCTAAAAAAAAGAACATTAAGTGCTAAGGAGCCCGAGCATTTAATGTCTGAGCCTCTTTCACGCAAAATGGAAGGTACTCTGTCCAATGACTCAACACCGCCCACCGCCTTCCAAATGGACTAATTGGGGGCTTTTTTTTCAAGAGGCCCACATGTCAATAATGATCGCATCCAGGGAGGTATAAATAGAACCCAAAAATTCAAAGCAAAGGTACGCAAACTAGATTCAAACAATAGAGCGGTGTTTTTTCATCCTCTCTCTCACGTACTGACTTAATCTTTAGAGGGGTCACGCTAAAAAATACTCCTGACACCCTTCTAACTCTCTTTTTTGAGTGACAAAATCCTTCTCCACTCGCCGGAATCGCGCGAACACTAAAAAAGTAATTCATTACTGCTCCTTATACTGTTTCTCGCCTTCATTTGTCTAGGGATCCTCGACATTTAAGTAAATCTCGTATTCACCAAAAGAGAGATTTGTCCTTTTCTTTTATTGTGCGAAAATCACCCCCACACACAGTTATAAAGCTGGAATTTGGAAACAGTTTATTACATGGCAACTACTTTCCGAGCAGAGAGAGGTAAATAAACAAAAGAATAGAAGGAAAGGACAACAAAATGACCTATAAATACATTAAACAAGAGATTGAGTTCTTAGTTTCTACAAATTCCTCGTACTACTTTTTTGGCGAAAGCTATCATTAATTTCACCAAAGCCCAAAATATTGCATCTTCACAATTGAGATATCCGTTTTTCCAAACAAATCTTTCAACCCATTGATGTATACATAACCTAAGATCAATAAGCTCATGAAAAGCCCCTGACAACCAACATGGGAATCAACCAATGCGGTATCTAAATATAAAAACCCCCCAAGGAAAAAACCAACAGTAAACAAAACCACTATCTGCTGGATATCCGTTTCATACTAGAAGAATTTCAGTTTCCCTTTGGCCACAGATGCTTTAGCCTGCTCCATGTGACACAATGCTTTTTGTGTCCCACTCAACCCAGAGCACGTGTCGCCAGTGCCTAGGGTGACCGCAAAATACAGATATACAGTGCAGAGGAAGGCTAGGAGGGCAAGAGCCGTGAGCAGGAAGCGGTGCCGCTGAAGGAGAGTTGAACAGCCCCCATAATCATTCCCTCTTGAGAATTGTCTTCTCAATGACGGTGAAGATATTGTGTTCTGTGACCACCGATGCGGGGAAGATATTATGCTGTCAAGAACCATAACTTATGCACTGAAATTCCCCGGGTACAACAGAATTCTGACACTGTTCCAATTCAACCTAAGTACAAGAGATTCATTCAGTTGAACTTCAATAAAAAATAATGAGGCATTAAGGAACGAAAAGGCAATATTAAATCCAACTACTCTTGAGGTTCAGTATTTAGTTCATCGGTAAATTGAGTTTTCTCAAAACAGATTTCGTGAATGAATTAAAGGATGAACCTTAGAACATTAACAACACCTTATTAGTAACATAGTCATAAAACTCCAACAAGTCAATCGAGTAAAAGAAAGCTACTACGAATTTGTACATCTCCAGATATTAGTATTGGCTCTAAAATAGCAAGACCAACCTAGCATAGCCACAAAATCAGAAGTCACTAAATTAAACGGTTTTTATATGCCTGTTAGAAATTTAAATGTATCAGAAGACTAGCAATGACAAAAAACCTTTGCTAATTAAGATGACTAAAGGGGCAAGTCAACAAGATGGCTATGACAACGACTAATAACAGCCACCATTGAGGATAGATCCATGGAGGCATGGACTACCAAAAAATAAACTCACGAAGACACTCCTTGGTTGGTGTTCACAAATCACAATTGAAATCCCTCTCCAAGTAAGGATTCGCAACCCCAAATTACCATATAAAAAAGCTTACATGTTAAAGTGAAGTAATTAGAAGCATACCCTTTAATTCCGATATTATTCCATGTAAAGAATGCAGAATAATCATTTGGTACAAGGATTGTTGATTTCAAGTGATCCTACACTTAATTCCTGTCTTGTTTCAAAGTGGTAGCTTGTTTTCTTCTCATCTACAGCATTTATTCAACCCTAAACCCCAGCTTAGAAAAGCCATGTTTTCTGATAAATTCAATGCTTATCTCCGTAGTTCAGCTGAGCATTGTGGAATTTGGCAGAGCTCAAGAGACCATAATACTCTAATCAACCATAAAAAAAACAGTGTACTGCAGAGCTTGTACCATGTTTATGTTAATCCATTAGATCATATATTCTACCCTAAAGAACCTCCCCTATTCAACTATATTCTACCTAAAATCAAACTTTGAGCTTGAACCCATCTATCCCCCGCATTACGAGAAAATTTTCAATACATTGGTGATACCGTTAACAATATCACATGATATGATTATTTAATAATATATTAATAAATAAGTAAATAGACTCCATAAAAATCAATTATTATCCCTCCATATAATATAATAACTACCTACTCTCCCGTCATGTAAGCTAAGAAAGTGGGGTTCACCGATGCGTGGTATCATCATTTCATTGAATATTTAATCTGGCATTTCGTTCTCAAATTGAGTTGCATAGATCTTGTTATTTTGGGTCTTTCTAATGGGTCAAAAAACTCCGCGAAAAGTAAAACTGGTTTTTACCTCCGATTCACAAACATTCCAGTCAAATTCCTAAGTTATCTCTTCAATCACAACAAGGACACTATAACCTTGCCAACAATTTCACATCTTAATCAAAAACTAACCCAAAAAAAAAAAAAATCACATCTTAAAGTCGATTAATTCTCTATATCCAATTATAATGAACAATCAAACCATCCAAAAATATATAATAACAAAAAAGGAGTTTAAGATCAAATCCATTCTCAGCTCACGAAATGGGGAAAATTAATACAGTCAAGATCTACATTAAAAAAGCTTCACATCGAAGCAAATGTATACAGTTATGAACGCAAGAAAGGAACTGAAAATAGGAAAGAGATTTACCGGCTAATCGATAACGTAGAAATCTGGTAATGACAACGTTGAATTGAAGTGGAGATTTTCTGCTTTATTATTGCATAAATCCACAACTAATTTCAAAAAGTTTCTTTATTTTTTATTTTTTCACAATGAATGGATTTCTCTCTCTGTTTTTTTTTTTCTGCGCATAAGCCCTTGTGTTTCGGCTCAACGAGAGGAAATGCCGGGGACAGACTGTCCACGCGCTTTCCAACTGTGGAGAGAGAGAGAGAGAGAGACCGGAATGAGTAGTGTTATTCCATGAGTTGACAACTCATTTGCGTGTTGGGTTGGAGACTGGTTCTTATATTCCAAACTTTGGGCGGTTGTCTGTCGGATGTTAGTAAGTCAGTGTTAAAAAATATTTTATTTATATTTGATTTGATTTTTTAATTTATATTTAACGAATTATGTTATTTTAATTTTGTATAGTATATAATTAATATATGAACTAGTTGTTTGGCATATTTTTTTTAATCAATTTAATTTATATTCGATTTATTTATTAATTATGTTGTATCGAGTTTATTCATTTAATTTAAACAAAGACCAAAATCTCTTAATTTCGTGTCGAATAAAGGAAACTTATGATATTTTAGCACCATCAAAGAAAAATAGCAAAGCACGTGTCATTTTATAGTTATTCGTGTTAAGATCTACAAAAAAAGAAAATTTATTTAATATGTTATGAGTATTAAACATTACTAGTATAAATTATTTATTATACATATTTAATAATTGTGTTAATTTTATAATCGATTGTGTCGTGTTCGTATCAACTAATCCACACCTAATAAAAGGTGAGGTGGAGTGGGGGTTAGGGTGTGGGTACTGACCTGTAGGGTCATATCCAATTTTAATTAGGATTAATTACAAATTATACCCTAAAAGATCGTTTAAATTTTAATTTGTACCATCAAAGATAAAATTTTGTATCAATGTGCACTCTCAAAGATAAAAAATTTTAATTTATACCCTTAAAGATAAAAAATCTCAATTTATACCCTCAAAGATAGATATTTGTATTAATGTGTACCTAAAACTAAATTAATAAATTATACTTAGATCCTCTTATGCTTGTCACTTAATTATTTTGACTCCTTTACATTTAGAATATTGCTCATGCATCTCATGACATATGTACTTGTGTAACACATAACCCCCTTTTCGTTGATATTTGTTAATATAACCGTTAAAAAATATGATTTTATCATAATAAAAAATTATAATTTTATATTACCCTTTATTTTATGAGTTTGATATACTCTAAAGTTTAAAATCACGCTTTTTATTTGAATGTCCAATAATATTGGAATGTTATTGGGCATTCAAATGGTAAACTTGATTTTGAACTTTAAAGTATATTGGATCCATAAAATAAAGAGTAATATAAAATTATAATTTTTTATTAGAATAAAATCATATTTTTTAACGGTAGTATGAAATTATATAAACGAAAAGGGGTTATATGTGACATATACACAAACATCATGAGATGTAGGAGTAATATTTTAAATGTGAAGGGATCCAAATGATTAAATGACAAACATAAAGAGATTTATGTATAATTTATCAATTTAATTTTAAGTGCATATTAATATAAATTTTTATTTTTGAGGGTACAAATTAAATTTTTTATCTTTGAGGGTCTAAATTAAAATTTAAACTATCTTTCAAGGTGTAACTTACAATTAACCCTTTTAACTATTCCGCATTTAGGATTGGGTTCGGTTGGGTCCAGATACCCATAATATATTGTACTAATATTTTTGATTGACACCCTTTTTTTATTTTTCATTCAATAAAAAAATGTTAAATATAACTAATGATTAAAATTGATGAAACTACAATAGAAAAATCAATATCGTAATTTAATCTGAGTCTAATAATATTTTTTTTTATAAATTTATAAAAGTATTATATGTCTATTGTAATTCAAGTAAAATATATTGTATATAAATAAATTGACCACTTATACATAAATGATATACAAATAAAAAAAAATTAAGAAAAAAATATTTAAATGAATCTGATTTCTACTTGGTTGTGGGCCTGCTCCGTGCATCTACCTTGGCCGGGTAGATGCACCCGTATTAATGATTTACGTACTATTAATTTAATCATTATCCATATTAATGATTAAATTAATATGAATAATACTCAACCTACGGATCTTGTACGTAAATTAAATCAAACTTGTTACCCAATGAAAAACACCAAATACCTTAGCTACCGAAATAGTACAACATTTCGTTCAGGACGAAAGACTCCCGAAAGAGAAGGAACTGACTTCAGGAAAAAACTCCAAAGAGATGCACTGAATCCACTCTGGCCCAAGGATCAAATTATGCTTCCGTGAGTTTGAAAATGAAAGTATTTTCATAATGTTTCAAAAATATTTCATAAACAAGATGAAAACAAAGAAAATTTTGATAATTTATTTCCTAAATATTAGTCAAAACATTCCGAAACAACTCGAATCCTACCGAAATATCTCAAAACCAAGAATATATGCAGAACCAAGAATGATGACTTAAAAGTGCCATTGCATTTCTGATGGCGTTGCGTGGTTTCACAAAAACTCCAGACAACATTGATCATATTAATTTGAAACTACCTTACCTAAGAAACAAAAAAAAATAAAAGGAATAAAGCATTTTCATGAGAGAAGAAAACCATAACATTCCACGATGTGCAAGCATACTAAATGTTGTAGTCGTATTTGTAAGCATGTGCGTCTGTGTGTGGGAATAAGTCGTAGTACAAAGCCCCTTTTGATGAAGATTCAACATTTTCCAAGAATACCTACCTTTCTGAGCATTACATATCAAGTTACTTGTTGAATATAGATTGCTCTAAACATCGAGACATTTCATCAGAAGCCTTAAGACTACTTCATGGTACCAATCCTAATAGCCCCAGTACTGAGATCACTAGTCACTAATTATTCTACCATAGATGATACAATGATTAAGAGGTGCATGCACTGGGGTTTTCGTCAATATATCAAACCTAATGAAACTTGATACAAAAAATTTTCTCCAAAACAACCTGGACACAAGAAACCTCGGCCCGTAGTCCCCCATGAATATAACTTGGTTACAAGGTTGTGTGCAATAACCTGAAGCATAAATGTGTATGCAAACAACAAAGCCACAACTGCAAGGCAAGCTTTTCGAAATTGATAAGGAAATGCAAGGCAAAAATGAGAAAACAAGGCAAGCATAGTAAAACCACAAAATTCCACCCAAAGCAAGAAAACTAATCAAGCAGAGTAGAACCACAAAATTCCACCCAGAGGAGGTCCTCCTGTTCTGTGGTGTCAAAAACTTCTAGCATGCAAAATTACGCAGGACTGAATCCAGGTATAATTTTATGTGATCCCCAGTAAGTACAAGATTCAGACCAAAAAAGAAGAATAATAGTAGTTTTTTAATTATTAAAAAAAACCTGGGGGTCATGATTAATCCAATGAACACAGTTCTTACAAGTATCTGCAACAAATGAAGTTGAATCTCCCACTAATCATCTATCCACCAAGAGTCTAATATAAAATAAACATGTGAAAAGAAGCTCTCTCCTCAAAGCCCTGTTAAGCACGAAATGGCACACCAGATTCAGTAGATCTAGCAAACCAAAACAAATTTGCACTAGTTTCCAACACCAATGACCATGGATCATTCATGATATAAAAATCAGTGTAAGGATTTTCAAGCAAGTGGGGGAGAATGTTTTCATGGGAATGAAATGTTGGCAGAAAAAAAGATAAGATAGTGCGAGTTGACCACTCACAGAAAGTTTTTGAAGTGACGGAAGGAGGGTTTTAATTATCCAAGAAGATTGACACTCACAACCAGGGAAATCAAACCATAATTAGATGTACTAAAAGAAAGGACTATGATTCCCTCCATGACAAAATAATAAGGTCTGATAACTACGTTGTAAGAAAGAGACAAATCTCTATCACAAAAGGACGATATGGAAAATGAAGATCGACAGCCTCTTGTATGACCACACATTAGCCAAATATTTGAGGGAAAAGCCATATTTCTTTCCTCCTATGAAGCTTGTTAGAAGGGCTACACGCATAAAATGTATGACTAAAATGAAATATATAATTTTTTGAAATGTCATTTGATTCTTGCTCTATGAAGTGTCATAAAAAACTACATTTTTTTCCCGTTAGGCGAAGAAGCTTTTTGGTTTTATATGAGAAATATATTCTAGGTCACCTCAACCAACCCAACCCTTGCTACTTAATTAGGAAAACCAATAGAGAAAAGGTGAATCCCAACCAAAGAAACAAATCCAAACCATAAATAAGGAGAATTTCACAAACACCCAGACCCAATGGAAGAAAAGAAAGATGCTGAATCAAAATCTGAGATTGCAAAATTGAGGTTTATTACTCAGTCTTCGTAATCTCCAGCATTCTCCAACAAGTAGTTAGCAGCCAATTCCTCATTGCGGTCACAGGCTAAAAAGGCCTCAATAACAAGGGCTCTATCAAACCCCATCGCCTCAAGCTGGAAATGCCAAAGACAACTATCAGTATATACAAGACTAATGCTACCTTAAGGCAGGCATATATAATATTGTTTCTTTTTCAAAAAAAAAAAGTAGGGGTGGTGGCTGTGTGGAAGGAATCCCTACTCGTTCAATGGCTTCCTGCTCTGCTGGTGTGACACTAATGGCATGAGGCATGTCCTGCTCAGGTTGATCAAGCAAATCCCTAAAAGGAAAAACGTTAGCGCTATCCCAATCAGCAGATTGAACCACAATAAACAGTTGAGATTTGGAAATGAAGTAGAGATGTATTAAGTCCTAGGGAATATAGCTCAGATATATTAGATATTCTCATAGCAAAGAAAGCACTAATTGTCATGTTTTTATAGACAGGGCAAGGGGGAGCCACAACATGTGCCAGGTAAGAAGCCTGGTCCAGATATGGGATAGGTAGGTATATGCCATGATAAGCAACAACAATACAGCAAAACGTATAAAAAAGAAAAGGAAATGAATATGTGAAGAGAATTTGAGCAGTGTAGGAGGAGAATCCATGCCTCATGGCATGCCAAATATAATGAGAACAGCTGTGGTGCAAACAGAATGAAGTGAATGACTTGAAGGAATGATACTGAACCACCTAGTCAATTTTCTGGGCCATTACACCCCTCCTCGAGTTCAACACTCGGTCTTCTTATTTCTATTCTCAATAATAAGTATTTTCACTTCTTACAAAAACTAAGACCAACAAAACACTCACCCTTCAGAACCTTCAACAGGTTCATTTATTAATTGAAGGAACTCTGCATGGTGTTCCTGAATCAGTCTTAAAAGTTGAGGGTTTTGCTTTCCAAGCTCCTGAAGCATGGGCTGTAAAGAAGAAACAGCTTACGACTCTTAAATAATGGAAATGAGAAAGAGCCAAAGAAAAGAATAAAAAAAGAAACACCTGCAAAATTTGTGGATTTGCTTGCACCATTGAACGCAACGCTTGGAACTGAAATGCAAACAAAGCAAAATAGGGATGCATCTTTCAACAAAGCAGGCAAACATTACTTACTAATAAGCAGGTAGAGTACTTAAACAAAAAGGCTTTGCCACAACGATCCCATAGTAGATGCTTCTCAACTCAAGGAATGACCTAAATATAAAGCAGGAACTGGACCTGTTGGTTGTTTCTAAGGAAATCAAGGGATCCAAGACCAACACCACTTGCACCAGAAAGTGTCCCCTGGATTTATTTAGATTTGTACAAGGTTAGAAGTGAAGAAAAGTAAAAATAGGAAGTGACTCCATCTAACGAATGTCAGACCTGAGGAAACAAATTCAAGGGAGAAGAATTTGGTGCCCCGGAGACAGGTGCAAGAGCTGCACCTGTTTCAGTAATGGGATTGACACCACTAGTTGCCTGATTTGCAGGAAAACGAGCCACTGGAACTGCAACTTCTGCTGTTTCTGGAATACCCTGAAAAATGAGATGAATCAGTTGCTAAATGCAAAAATATAATTGATGGAGACAATATTGGGAACATACAGAATATAAGTAATCCACAGCTCTCTCTGGATTGTTGTAAGCAGCTCGAAGTGCACGGGTAACAGTTTCTTTATCCCAATTGCCACCGCCCATATCCATTATTTGTTGAATAGTCTGCTCAAGATTATTACCAGCAACTAAACTGGAAGCAGCTTGACCATATGTATCAGAAGGTCTGCAGTAAAAAAACAGTTATTGTGGTATCAACTATCAAGTTCCTCAACAACCCGTATTCCTTCATCCATAAATTCCATAAATATACAGTGAACACAAATATGAAATATCTATAAAGGTAACTCTCTATTGAGCCACACCTAGTTGAAGCCACCAAAGAATCAGAAGCAGCACTCTCAGAGGCCCTGCAACAAAAATATTCACAAGATCGATGAGTGGATAACCAATTTATCCCAAAGCAACATCTTCCAGATGCTTGTCAGTGCAACTCACGGTGGTTGTAAAGGAACTTCAGGAGCAGGAGTAGGAGCAGGACTTGAAGTTGGTGCAATTGTGGAAGCAGGCTGTTCATAGGTACAGTAATTGGGTCATCATAAAGAACAAGAACAAAGCTATGATTCCTTTAAACAAAAGCAGCACAATAAATGATATTACCTGTGTGGATGATGTCCCGCTTGATCCCAAAGGTTTACTCTGTAGAGATAAAAAAGATGACAGAGAAATATGATAAAAAAATGACTAGAAAGGATTACATATCATGACTTCAAGTTGACAATCCTGGCAATATGAGCACAAGAAGCTATAAATAACTTTGACCAAAAGCAATAAGAAGTCACATTGTTCGGAAGTTCCAAAAAACTGAAAAAAAAACAGAAGGAAAAGTATACCTTGCTAAGCATGACAACAAGAAATCCATCTTCAGTGACCTTGTTCTCTGCCAGTGTACTTTCATCTTTTAAGACCTTCCCATTGTGAATCAGCAATTGCTGCCCACATGGATAATTGTCTTTCCCTTGTATATCTTCAATGTTTTTCTTAACCACCATGATCTAGTATTATTTGAAGTTGAAGTTCAATCATCCACGAACAATCATCTGAATAGGTCATCCAATACTACAGCACACTAACGAAGGAATAGCATGTGGATTCTACACATAACCATCAATTACATTCCAGTAAAAATATGAATTCAACCAACATGTATGAGGTAATCTTAATTGGTGATCACAGACATGTTCTCCAAAGTTTCTAAATTTTCGGACCCATATTTTAGTTTGCATACAGAAGCTTAGTAAATGGACGTGCAATATTTACTCTCCGAAGAAACCTAATCCTTCGTGCTGTAATAATCCAATGTGGCACACACATGTCAGACTCTCCAGTTTTTCAATTTACAGGCAATGTCATGGACCATTTTATTACTGTATAGCCAATCTAAAGATCTGCATAAACGAAATGTAGCTCTCCTTAATCAACCGACCATGCCCACCATTATTCCCCAAACAACCCTATTATGTATCAATCACTAAAATCACAGTACTAAGATTCTCTGAGTCTGCATTACCCTAATTCTGCACTTGTTGCTGTAAAAACTACAGAAAATAATACATGAAGGTACATCGTATTGTATATTTCGAGCTTCCTTGATTTCGGACACCTTTTGCCCACAAATAACCATATGTATTTACACATCAAACGGTTCAGTAAAGTCGCCATATTAACCAACGATTTGACAAGGTTTAGAAACTAAATCCGCCATGCAAAGGTGTATTATATAAATAATATAAATACACACACACACAAACACATATATAGAGAGAGAGGGAGAGAAGAACTCACGGTGTCAGTGGGTTGAACCCTAATTTCGAAGTGGCTGCCCTTGAGAGTCTTCACAGTAAGCTTCATTTCGGAGAATAACTGAGTTTTGGATCAAATGTTCAGAGAGTTGAAAAAGGAGCTTTCAATCCAACTGAAAAGAAACCAAAACCCTAAAACAGCATTCTATGACGGATCGCGGGGGAGAGAATCACGAAGGACGTGTTGCAGGAAATAATGGAACTCATGGAGTTGAGTGTTCAATTTCGGAAGAATTACACTCTGCACCCCAAAATATATAAGAATTCTTAATATCCACTCTTAAAAATTATATTTCTCATATTATATTTTTAATTTATATCTATACTTACAATTATCTGTATCCATATGAAAAAGTAAATTCCTATTCGGGCAAATATATATTATATTTTTTTTGTATATAATAATATTATAAGTGATTTAATTAACCTATAAAGTAAAATAAAAATTAATAATTCTGTAATATATAATTAGATGTTAAAATGTCTAAAAGGTCGGAGAGATATCTAAATAAATGACAGATTATATACTCAAAAATTTATAGAATAAATTAATAATTAAATTTAATAATAATTAAAATACAAATTAATTATTTGACACCTAAATTATTATTTAATTTAATTATACATATAATTGACATTTTTTTATAAAAATAATATCATTTAAATTTACATGTAATACCCAACTATATATATTAAAATAATTCTAATGTCACACTGCAATTAGATTATGGTGCTCATTTTGTCAAAAAATCACCCTTTAATTTCCTTTGAATAAATCTACTAATGTGGTGCATGCGATTTACTTTTTCTTTTTTGTAATTTATATTTTTTACAATTTAAACATTATTTCGAATACAATTCAAATTGAACCCTAAAATCTTGCTCGGTAATGTTTTAAATTTTCTATTTACAATTTTTAATGGATAATTTAAAGTTATATTATTAGTGTCATATACAAATCTAAGGTTGAATATTTTTTTTATTTTATTTTATGCATATGTAATGTGATTATTTAATTTCACTGAATTTTCATACCATCTAATTTATTTTTTAAATTATAGTTATTTACCTATCGTGTTTTAAATTCACATTTTTAAAGTAAAAAATTATCAAAAAAATGTAATTTATATTTAAAAGCACAAGTTTAAAGTATGTATTTTCAGGAATAGAGGTTTTAAACCATATTTTTGTCTTGGTTGTCCCTTCGAATATTTTTAATTTTAATTAAAAAAAAGAACTATATTTTTTGTAAAAATAATGGTTAATAAAATTCAAAAAAGAAGAACTCTGATTGCAAATAAATATGACTAGCAAGGGGTCTGAGTATTTCCCATAACATGTGGCGGGATTTCTGCATATAAACGTTTCCTGCTTTAGCGGCGAACCGGTAAGCGAGTCTTTCTCTCTCACGAGAAAGCGTAAAAGAATAACCTCGTCATCGATGGCCCCTCCTCTAAGCTTTCCTCTCTCTCTCTCTCTCTCATCAGATGACCTCAATTTGACCGTTTTGATTGCCAGAAGTTGATTATTTATATTTAAACCATGGATCATGAGTTAATTCCAGTAAGTCTTTCCTCAACTATCGGTTCAATTTACAAAAAAAGTTGTTGTGTTCTTTGTATTTGGAATTTTAAATTTTTTTTTTTTGCAGAGGAACTTGCATGAGATTTGGATCTGTAAATCGCCGGAGAGCTGCATTTGCGTGTTGTTCGACGTTCAGTAGCGAATATTATTATTGTAGAGATAGCCAAAGAGGTTTTGATCAATGATGGAGAAGAAGAAGAAGTTTCCAGTTGGAGCTGAGCATTATACTCTCTATGAGGAGGTAGGGCAGGGCGTGAGCGCTTCGGTTCATCGGGCTCTCTGTATTCCTTTCCATGAGATCGTGGCTATCAAAATTCTTGATTTTGAACGCGACCACTGTGATCTGGTAATTTCTCAGTTGTCAGTTACATTGGGATGCTTATATGTGCCTATTACATGTTACGGTTTTATCTGATATCGAATGTCGGCTATTTTGAATTCTTGAAGCAGTCTGTTTCAACTTGTTTACCAAGTACCCTTGGTTGCGAATTTTTTGGTGCATTTAGCTATCAAACAACAAGTGAATTTCTTGTTGTATAATGTTTTGCTTGATACTGAAATTCTTAGCTCCATGGAACTTGGCAGTCACACTAGCTGAAGTTAAGATGAACTTTAGTAGTTGTTGTAGGTCGTGAGAAATGAGGGAAAAAAAAAAGAAATATTAATTTCAGATGACAAAAGTTAAAAAGTGCATATGTTAAGTTGTATTGTATTTTTCCCTTCCAATGCTCTTGTCTCATTTTGAGTATTTTGTTGGAATAAGGTACTATTAAGATTGAATAAGTTTGAATGCAGTATATGGAATTGCAGAGAGACCATATGTTATAGTTCGTGTAGGTTTTGTTTTTCCCTTGGTATGAAAGAAACTTAAGTTTTTTGTATAGCTCTGATTGTACACTGCTGCAAGGTGATGAATTACTATTTATAAATCTATGCGACTTCAGCTTTTGTTTCGAGTTCTATTTATCTATGGTTTCATGGCATATGCTCAAGGATAGTCAGTGTTTCTGTTTAAAATTTGGAGTTTGGGATAACTGCTTTTGCACTCGAAACAAATTGTCTAGTTGGCAATGCTAAATTTTATATTTGTTGGTAAGATTGATTTATTGACTACTTTCTTTGTCAACCCTGCAGAATCATATATTTCGTGAAGTGCAATTAATGACTCTGGTTGACCACCCTAATGTCCTTAAATCACATTGCTCTTTTGTTAGTGATCATAATTTGTGGGTTGTCATGCCATATATGGATGGGGGTTCTTGTCTTCACATATTGAAAGCTGCATATCCAGATGGTTTTGAGGAGGTTGTTATTGCAACTATATTACGTGAGGTTTTGAAGGGTTTGGAGTATCTCCATCAGCATGGGCACATTCATCGGGACGTCAAAGTGAGTAGTTGATTCTCAATTAATACAACAGTTCCACAGTATCAATTTAATTGATTACCTTGTTCAAATTCACTGATTTGAATTCTCATTGTTGTGAATTTATCATTTTATTTGGAATGGCTTAAAACTTAAAAGGCTTCCAAACATGTTGATGTAAATAGGATATAGCTTCTGAAGCATTACAAAGTAGTTAATATTGGGTAATGCATAGAGTTACGTCAATGTTAGTATCTTTATTATCTAGTGGAGATTAGTTTTCTCTTGTTATGATTTTCTTAAGTTTCATAGTCAACCCGTTATATTTGGCATTTCATTGAATTATGTCTCTCACGATTATATTGTAACATGATGCTATATATTAACTAATGTTGCTTTTTCTTCCTTTCGCATTAGTTTTTTACCACTTGAGTTTCTAAGATGAACATAAGAACAAATTGTCAGGGGAAGTAGGAGAGCTTTTTTTTTTTTTTTTTATCTTCTTATGTCTGAAAAAAAAACCCTATAAATCAAACTAGGTTGTGGTGGTTATACTATAGTCAGTTGAGAGAAGCTACAATGTGCATCACAATTCTTAAAGAAGTTCCACAGTCCTTTTTGCAGGATGCAGAAGTGTCAAAACAATAGACATGATCTATCAGAAATAAACATTTAGGCAATTATTTCATGAAATTGTGAAAAATGCAGGAAGATTATTTTGTAAGATAACATAATCTGGAAAGCAAAAAAGGTGCCACGATGAGAAAGGACTACTTTGAGAGAACTGATGGCGTATTATCTTTGGCTGGAAATTGTTCTTTGCATTAGTATTACTTGGATTTATGGGAAGGAAGAAGGCCAAAAAAGGATTAGTCAAAGGTCTCTTTGGAAGGTGAGCATAGCATGAGAGAAATGAGATGTCTGATCCACTGATTCCTTTCTAATGACCATTGGTATGTGTTTAGATTTTCTTCCCCTATATTCTATAATAAAGTAATAGCTGTATTTGTAGAGTGACTGCTCTAGGCGGCTAAAGCAAAGATACTGTTCTAAAAATTTGCGAAGTCCTCAGTATAGTGAAAGAACCCTGATTTCAAAAGCAACACCAATGGAGATTATTTTCCAATGCTAGATAGTATCTGAGAAGCTCAATAGCTGGATATCTAATCCCAAATTGTAGGAGAAGTCAGAGAGGCTCAATGTGATCTTAAGAGAAGTCATATTATGATCAGTGGTCAAATTCCTCATTTGCTAGGTACAAAAAGGTTAAACTCTTAGTTGTGCTCAAGGATTAAAATTTATTTCGGTGCATTGTTTCAGTTACCTTGAAAACAGAAGTTTTTTAGAAACAGAATGGAGACAAATAAAAATCTAAGAATTTGTTTTCAAAACATTCTGAAGTATTGATCAAAATATACCGAAGCATCTTGAAACTCTGTGAAATTTTGATGAAAACATGCTGAAACATCTCGAAGCATTGGAATTTCAATTCAGTCCTAGATTCATTTCGGTCTCCTTGGTTTCAACTGTTTGAAGCATAATTTTGATCCTTGATTGTGCTCCAGTAATGACATTTATACTTGTAGTTTCCGATAATTATTTACCGTAGCCCATTAGTTTTTGTTTTGGTGTAATCACGTAAGGGCTATGTTCAATTTTTATGCACACCCTTATTCATCTTTTGTTTCTTGTAGGCCGGAAATATTCTCATTGATGCACGTAGTGGAATCAAGTTAGGAGATTTTGGTGTTTCTGCCTGCTTGTTTGATTCAGGTGACAGGCAACGCAGGAGAAATACATTTGTGGGGACGCCTTGCTGGTATGTTTTTCCATACCATATGTTTCTGCACATTTTGCTTCGTCATAGGTTTCATTGATCAAAATTACCTGATTATCTTGGGAATTGCTGGTCCCCAACCCAACCAAAAGATGAAAAACATTAGTAAGTACTAAGTACATCCAGAACGCCTTCAATGATAATGGAGTTTACAGTCAACCTAGGCCACTTTGACATCTAAGAGTGTGGCCCAAAGTGTAGTGACCTTATTTTTCTCCATCATGGTCAGATATAACCAGAATATATTTTTTGTTGTGTTGTAGGATGGCGCCCGAGGTTATGGAGCAATTGCACGGTTATGATTTTAAGTTTGTATACCTTGCACCTGTCCCTTGTTATTCTACTAGAAGACTAGGATGTAATGTTTGGTTAATTGTTTGACAATTACTGCAGGGCCGATATCTGGTCTTTTGGTATTAGAGCTTGCTCATGGCCACGCTCCTTTCTCGAAGTACCCTCCAATGAAGGTTTATACATCTTAAATATTGACATGCTTTTATTTTAATGAAACAACTTTTTAACTCGTCACATCTTAGAGTTATTAAATAATTGACAGGTTTTGCTTATGACCTTGCAAAATGCACCCCCTGGTCTTTATTATGAGAAAGACAAGAAGTTTTCCAAGGTATGAAATTAACATATATTATTCTGGTCACACTTTGGTAATCGTGTCGTGTGACATGCTTTTTGGTCTATTTCCTTTGTTCTTAGAGTTTTAAGCAGATGATTGCTACTTGTTTGGTGAAATATTCTTCCAAACGCCCTTCAGCGAAGAAGTTGTTGAAGCATTCTTTTTTCAAACAAGCTAAATCAAATGATTATATCACACAAAAACTTTTGGATGGACTGCCAGTGCTTGGTGATCGTATTCAGGCATTGAAGGTCAGTGTTCTTGAGTATATGGTTTCACAGATCCATAATTCATCTTCTTTGTTTCAATTTGTGCTTTATCTAAGGAGCTTTGTTTTTATTTGTGATAGAGAAAGGAAGAAGATTTGCTGGCACAAAAGAAAATACCCGATGTGCAAAAGGAGGAAATGTCACAGGTCTGATTTCTTGGATCCATAACAAAAAAGAAGTAAAGATTTCAATTCTTTGACTTACTGAAGTGTTGATGAATATATGTTCCAACTCCTTCCTCATTGTTTAAGAATGGTTTTTCCCTATGGCATTTTTGTGTTTCGTAGTGCATGATATTTGCAGCAATCGTTTACGTATTTAGCATTCTATTCTCATCCCTTTTGGTTAGTGACTACAAGTCCGCGAAGCACATGTTTTCCTCTTTCTTTTCTCTGTGTGTGTGTGTGTGTGTGTGAGAGAGAGAGAGAGAGAGAGAGAGAGAGAGAGAGAGAGGAAGTGGGGTGGGGCTGGGAGCACGGAGAGAGGCTGTTTGGATGGAGGCTGTTCGGGGGTAGCAGAGTCTGAGGAAGGGAGGCCTATTGGGTTTATTTCATATTCTTTGTCTGGGTCTCAGTCTGGGCTTTGGGTCCAGATATGTGTGTATTATTTAATTTTGACCATTTAAATAGAGGGCAAAAAGGTCTTTTTATTTTAACTAATATGCAGGCCAAATTTTAACGCCAAGTGGGGTCTCTGTGCAGTTTGGCCTAATATGATCTTATCGAGGGTTCGGTGTGGTTTTTACCCCAAGTATTAAACTTAGGGTCTTGTACATTTCATGTTCTGTGATTATTGCAAATTTTCCTCACTCTGGAATTGCTAAGTTGCTCAATGATTTCATGTATGCACACATACACACACATCTCCCTGTTTTGTTTTCACTGCTAGTTGTGGTCCTTTCGAGATATATCTTTTGCACGTGTTATGAGCAGAATTATTTTTCAATGGATAGGTTATTTGCTGGTTCTTAGTGTGGTTCATTGTCAATGTGCAGAATGAATATAAGAGAGGGATTAGTTGTTGGACTTTCGACCTTGAAGATGTGAAGGCTCAGGCTTCATTGGTATGATAAATAGTCATTTTATTCTGTATGATAAATAGTCATTATAACACACAAGGACTTTTATGAACTCGTTCTTGTACTGAAAGTTTTACACTTGGTGAGAATCATATGTATATTTTTTCTTGCTGCTAGATCCCGGATGAGTGCTCTATATCAGACAAAGATCAAATAGGGAGCTTAAACTCTTTTTGTGGATTTGATATGCATGAAAAGAAACTACATTACCAGTTGTCTTGTGCGAGCCAACCTTCAGAAAATGCAGATAAAATACGTCAATGCCCTTAGTTTTACATGATGGGACACAGTTTTCAAATCCGGTCCTCACAATATTTTGCTCACAGGAAGATAAAAATCTTATACAGAACCAATCTGCTCCTCTTCCATCAGCTGACTCTACACCGACTTATACCATGTATGCCATCTTCAGCTGATGGTTTAAGCCATTTCCTCTGGTTCTGTTCTAACTGTTTTCTTTTGTACATCTATTTGTAATTTAAAGCATTCTCATAATCTTCATGCTTGTGCTTTAAGTATATTTTATGGTCTTCATTTAACATGCTCTCCTCTTTTGATCTATGTATGAACATGTTTTTTTGGGCTGTCTTAATCTAACTAATATCATATATTTGTTTCAGAGCTAAATTTGAGAAATTCAACGATGAGGTGAGCATAACTAGTTCAACGTATGAGCATTTAATTTCCCAAAACTCTTCTCCACATAATGAGAATCACATTGGAGTTAATATGGCTGGAAAACCTGAGTTGGATATCAGTGGAAGAAATTTTGATGGCATGGCTACCCATTCTAGTCAGAGGAAGGGAGGTTCATCAGACAGCATCCATTTACCAGATCTTATTTTTCCACCTTGTGAAGCAGGAAGGTATGATATAACATACATGGTTTCTAGGACTTTTGGCTAAAGCTCCTTGTGTGTTATAGCTAGTAGATTCTCGCTTCCCTCATACTAAATGGAGCACATTTAGCCACTCAAAAACTAGGGAAACATGAAATGGTAATTGTTTACTGCAATTTAGTTTTGTTTAAATGGTGTTTAGCATTGGACAATTTCTAGTAGTGGCCTAAAATATTCCTGTTAATTCTGTGTAAGCTTTTGACTCTTACCGGGTATATTGTTTCAATTGAAAGTGGTATTTGTTTTTTTTTTTTGGCTTCAAGAGTGGTATATTTGCTTATCATCGGTATAATGTTTTATTTATCTCTCTCTCTGTACATTATGCAGCTCCTAATATTATATAGCATTTTGACTGCATTGTATTATATATCTTCAATGTGTTTTGAGCAAGTCTTTATTTGAATTTTGGAATTTTCAGTGATAAGGTGCAAAGTAAGTTCCAAAACATGTCACTTTGCAATGGAATTATTCCCCCAACAATGGACGATGGGCCATCTGACATTATTTCTAGAGCTTCTAAACCTTCAGGCAAGTGATCAAGAATATCCACATTGGCTTCATGTTAACTACATTTAATATTTAATTGGGTTGTATTATTTTTTATTTTTTCTGGAAATTGGATGGGTATATGTTTGCTTTATTATTCTCTTCTTTTGATATATTTTTGTTTTTTGATTTAATAAACCTTTATTTTCAACAGCAAACATTGATGAGCCAGATGAGAAAGCAAAGTGTTCAGTTGTTCAGCAAAAAGGACGTTTCAAAGTAACCTCCGAGAATGTTGATCTAGAAAAGGTGGCTTCAATTATTCAATTCTGATATTGTTCGATGGATTTGAATTGAATTTTGAACTCATCATTTCTTTTTAGGTGGTCCCATCTCCTATATTGCAAAAGAGTCGCAGTATGCAGGTTAGCATTGCTACTGAGTTATTCATGCCAAAGTACTTACTATAGCAAACAAGGCAAAACTTTATTGAAAAGTATTTAAATTTGAGAGATTCTCATGGGGCTTTTTTTATTGGTCCAAAAATTAAAACAATTTAATTATTCTCGTATGATGTAACCACCTCTCTTAATTGGACCCAGTATGTAATAAGTTCTTTCCTATTTGTTCACTGTCTAGCTAATCAATTCTCTTTTGCATGCCTGTCATAGCAAACACATGATGGAATTAAAATCTTGTACAACCATCTATCAGAAATGATTAGTCGGAGTCAATACTTGCTTTTAAATTTTATGTCTCAAGCAAAGGATAGGCGTACATGCATATGGATATATTAGTGGCATTGACACTACGCTGGTCTCAGGTTTGTGCATTCCATTAGTGTAATTTTATCAATTTATTAGGAGTTACTAATAATAAGAATAAAGGATTGCTTAGATTTGGATGGCATAGATTTGTAAATGTCTCAACTATCTGACAATCAAGAATTTCTTAAACACTACTTTTGTTACAATCTGCCAATCAAGAACTTTTTAAGACTACTTTTAGTAATATAGTAGTCACCTACGATGCTCTCGATGGGGATTATTTCTTGCAACAATTGCTTTGCCGTTTCCTTTGTTTGCTCTTCTGTTTTTCCTTAGAATATATATGTTACTTTGATACATTGTTATTGACCTCAACCTTGGTTTTTATTTTGTTCCTTTACAATTTGACTGAAGTGCATTAATCAATAAGTGCTTTGTTACGTAATCTTTTGAACACTCCTTATCCTTTAAAAATTAGAAATTGTTTTGTGGTTTTGGTTTGTGATAAAACAAATGGCTTTGTTTCCAAGTAGTAAGTTGGTGGTTGCAAGTCAGGATGTAATAGGGTAGAAGTATGCTGGCTTGGGTAGAGGTGTAGCAAGTCTCTTTGAGATTTGATGGAGGGTTTAACCAACCTGGCCTGTTGGCGCTTGTTGTTGAACTAGTTAAAAGAAGGAAGTTGTGCCTTCACTAACACATGGGGGTTTTGGTGCAATAGTAAGTGTTTTGGACTTTTGGTCTAACAATTGGTATTCGAGCGAGGTCACGGTTTTGAGTCCAAGGGTAGTTGCGAGGGGGGGGGGGGGGCGAATTGTTGGTCTAGTTGGTTAGAGGTGCAGCAAGTCTCTCTAAGACTCGGTAGAGGGTCTGACCAACCCGACCCGTGGGTGCTTGTTTCTGAACTAATTAAAAGAAAGAAGTTTCACTTTTATTAATACCTGTGAGTTTTGGTGCAACGGTCGCTTCGATGCAACAAAGTAGGTAGTGAAAGTTGAAGTTGAGAGCCTAAATAAATATTTGTAAGTATTGCATCTCATGTCTCTGACACCAAAAGTTTAACTATACTTCTATGGGACTGCCATGGTTATGTAGGTGATTACCCAACGTCCTCCTCTTTCTCTACCATCACCATCACCTTCTGATGCTACACCACCAAATCCTTGTGGTCATTCTGTCTTTCCGACATTGCAATCAGCTTTGCAGACAAATATTCTTCAAAAGGTATGGATGAACCATGTAAATTCAACCAATTTGCAATTTTATTATATTTTTTGGAGAGTACAATTTTTTAATTTTTAGTTTCTTATTTATAATTTTTTTCCAACAGGAGAGTCTCCTAAGTCTAATGAAGCAAGTTTCTGTTGGTGACTCTACAGGTGCAATCTATCAACTCCTCTTATACTTCATTTATTTTATTAAGATATTTCAGTCTTACATGATGTGTTTAGGCACTCGTGCATTCGATGGGGAATGTCTGCCGACGAATGTGGCTATGATGGAGAAATCGTTGGTATGTCGATGATACAGGTTTTATCTAGACAAATTATCAAGCAAGTATGCTATAATTTTTGTGTTCATTTTGATATATCATCGATATCGTGGATTGTATGGTTGTTGTTTAAGAATATTATAACTTGACACCAATGTGATGTGACTTCTAATTAATTGTTCTGTTGAGTTCTGAAAACTCTTTTCCTTTTTGTTTTGCAGACTAGATAATTTTTTTGATGTTTTTAGTTCTTTAGCATTTTGCGGCTGGATGGCCATATCTAAGTGGCACCAAAGTTGTTAAAATATATATTTGCAATTAAATGTCTGAAAATTTTCAAACTGGTTCAAGAGTTTATGTCAAATGAAATTCTTGTTACTTTTTTTGTGTTAAATCCATGCAATTAGAACAGAAACTATGTTATCTTGCAATTTAGTGAAAATACATAAAAAATTTCAAATTATTAACTTTACAAAGATTATGTGAAGTAGATGTTGAAGTTTGGCCGGCTATGATAAGACTTGATTGGACCAATGAAGTAACGTATTTTTCAAATATTCTATATAAATTTCTATATGAAACTGAAATAGTTACCTTTCAAAAAATTATAACCATAGGGAGAAATGCCGACATGCTACTTAGGTGTGGTGAGTGAATTTAAAGTTTATGTTTCTATTTGGTTTGCAGTTGGAGAGAAGGAATTACTTCATGTGATAACTGATTTACAGTGGAGGTATAAATTACGTTATGCAGAAAATTATGTTGCTCTTTTATGAATAGTTCTAAACTTGTGCTTTCTGTGTAGGCTCATCTGTGCTCAAGAAGAGCTCCAAAAATATAAAACAGAAAATGCCCGGGTAAATTTTTAATTTGTGGCCACACAATTTTCATATTCTATCTTTAATGTTACATGATACTGAACTCTAAAATTTAATTTTCGGGTTTGATTCAATTCCTTAGGGAAAAGCTGAACGCAGTTGTCGACCTCAACTAACTGATAAAAGGGGAAAAGGAGAAATAGAGTAGGAAGAATGATAGATTAGAATGAAAAATAGAAAATGAACTTTTCTGTGGAGAGTTTCAGTTATATTTGGGTGGGGGGTTGATTTAATTTTGAGCAAGTGATGAGAAACTTAAAAGAGCTCCAAGCTCCAAGTTGTGCCTATAAGATTTAATGTATTCTTGTATATGATCATATTACTGGTTTTGTTGGCTTGTAACATGTTATTATATGTTCAACCATATAGCAAATAAATGCGAGTTCAATTTGAATTCCTAGTTATGTATATCCAATAATAACTATCCGCGCATATCTTATATTGTAAAATTCAAGGGTGAAAGCTAATCTAGTTAACAAACAAGGGTGATCCCTTAAGTGGGTTGTTAGCTCGATAAGGTAGGTTGCTTTCCCTTCCCTCCATTGAAGGCAGGACTGGTCCAAGTTCCTGTTGGATGACCACCTGTTTGCACCAAAACACCCGAGCAAAGCAAGTAGTTTAGAGAACTATCTTCTTTGCACAGCGAGTGTGCTAGAGTTAGAGAATCCACAAAATAGCGATATTAGAGTCCTAGACAACTAGCTCGGTGATGATATCTGTGCTTCCCAACACAAAATTCCCCTTGCGGAAGCCTTCTTATCTACATGACAATTATGAACAAGATGCCTTACCATTGTCCAAAAATGGCGTAGGGAGGGGACTGGATTTGTAAAGGAAAAGCGGGTCCCTTATTCACCATAGCGTCTAAGGGGTTAGTTTTAGGGTAAAATCCACTCATGGGTACAAGGCCTCCCTCCCCTTCACCTCCCTGTTTACACTCACACATGTAGGAGCACCATTGACACAGCTGTGAAAAAGAATTACAGGATCTCTCACCTGTTTGTATTCTTCCTTTCATTCAACTGTCCCAATGCCTTAGACATCACCAAACTCCTTGACCAATACCCAGGTTTGAGCTCCATCAATGACTGCCTCACTCAAATCCAACGTGCTGGTGAGATCAACTCACGCACCAAATCATCACGGTCCTCATGGTCGACAATAACACCATTGGGTGTGCTCGATGTTGTGCTTACTTGGGTTCACCAATCTGCATGAAAGCACCATTGCCCTGTTTGACTCGGTGGAAATTTATTCAGGACAGAAGAAGGTGCTATGCTGATAAATAAGGTTCCCCGGTTTTGAAAATAAAACATACATCCATATGCATATCAAGAGTTGAATATAGCTAATTCATTTGTTTAGCTCGCTCCTTAGTCAAACTCAATAGGAATTCTTACATACACACGGCGATTATCTTATTCATTAACCATACAAGGTTCCGTTTCGGCTTAGACTACGAACATCCAGAGACGAGAATAGTGAAGTATGCAAGCATAGAAGTAGAATCTCACAAGCTGACTTCAAGAAATTTTTGTGCCATGGGATGCTTGGCTTCAGAGAGTTGATCAGGCTTTAAGACTTCAACAATCTCACCGTTCACCAGAAGGCACACTACATCAGCAATCCTCTTGATTTGTTTGATGCTGTGAGAGACCATAACGATAGTCATTCCTCGATTATTCTTCAGCTTTACAAAAACATCCTCTATGTTTTGCGTTGATATTGGGTCCAAGGCACTTGTTGGCTCATCCAGCAGCAACACCTTTACAGGAGAAAGAGAACAAAAAAAGTGAATGGTTGCAGTTTGCATTACATGGTTGTGGGAAAATACTCCAATAGACGAAAAGCTTGTGAATGGTGCAGTCCTATAATTTGGATTACCTCTGGATTGTTTGCCAGAGTCCTAGCAAGTGCAACTCTTTGAGCTTGGCCAACTGATAATTCAGCGCCCGATGTGTTGAAGAAAGAGGAATTAAGGTCAGCAAGATTAAGCAACTTGTACACCTCATCGTCACGTAGTTTCTTCCCTGTCAACTGCGGACCATATCTAATGTTATCCGCAACCGTTCCTGCAGAGATAATGCCAATAGTGATGTGATAAATCAAGTTAGAGGGAATTACCTACATATATCAGCTTCGCTATAATGAGTTCATAAGCTGTTGTTTTGGTGGTAATAGGTAAAGAAAAAGCAGGTAGGGCTGGAGAGGAATACCACACATACAAATGGTAGTCTCAAATAAATACGATTGTAAGAATGTGATCAACCAAAAGGACCAAAACCAAAGGGTGTAATCCTTTTAGTACCTCAAAAAAAGGAAGTTTACGCATAAAATTATAGGGTGCAGTGATATGCATAACAGCTTAGGTCTATGTAGCGGTCTTTTGTTGTGTGTTATTTTTGTACAGAATGCACCTGCAAGAGAAAAACAAACGACCCAGCTGTGTTTCTTCGGTCCAAAATCACATCATTTGTTGAAACTACACCGTATACAGCATGTTTATAGCAAAGGCCACAAGCTAAAATTGATAATAATAATGAAAAAGACAGATCGTACTCGGTGCATAAGACATTCACCTATAGCAAGGTCGGAGGGGTGTAACTCTTTTTCTTTTATCACCCAAGGTAGGGTGCTATTCGATGAAGAAAGCATACTTTAGAAAAGTGGTTCAGGTAGCTCAACTGATTAGAGCAAATGACGGAAAATCCTTGTGTCAGTGGTTCGAATTCATGTCAAAGCAGACGAAGGGTCCAAATGATACGTAGCCGGGAATCACTTTATCCTTTGGGTTACGCATAGTGAAAGGTAAGACCCAGTCTTGTAGATTTGTATACTTAAAGAGTCAACCCTTGCTGGCCTCAACCCAAGATTAGAACGGAGATTACTCAATCTGTTGACAAAGTCATATGCAACTACACTACATTAGGTGCATACTGCCTCAAAATTTTTGAAGTACCCCTCACCATCCCATTGTTTAATTTAATTAAATTAGGCTACAAAAAGGGTTGACCTTTTTATACTTTCAGAATAAAAAAAATTCCCCTGACATAAAGGGTTTCGTGCATTCGTGGAATATACTTCAAATTTTCAACTGACCTACTTCCCCTTATGGATTCATATTACAAGTCAACCCTTCCAAATTCAAAATTTCCTATCTTGTGTACTTTTTTCTTGAGGAGAGAGAGTGGAAGAGAATGTCAATGAATTTGCTTGTAATTTATGCATGCACGTTAGAATCAAAGTGCACATATTTTGTGAGCACTAACTAAAAGTGGGTGTGTGTCAAGTACACGGATAAGTTAGGGGTGACAATTTCCGAGGTGTTATTATAGACTAAATCGGACATGAAATGTCAGAGTTGACTAATCTGGGACATAAATCAAAAATGGGCATGACCTAACATGAATTATAAAGTTACAGTGTCAAATATGAATAATTCGACTTTGACAAGATAAATTCATTTAATTGATGAAGAAAATATGTGATTTTGATAGAATCTTGAAAATTCTCAAAGGATTTTGTAATCTAATTTTCTTACCACACGGATTGAGTGAATAATTAGATTATGGGATTATGTATTATGCATTTGGTAGGCATACAATAAAGTAATTCTATGTGATTAATCAAACTGATGCATGAGAGGGAGTTAATGATGTTCGAATCCATAATCTTAAGATGTAATAGCAGGGCAGTGACTATTAAAATAACCGTAAACTTTAAATATACACATACCTTCAAAAAGGCAAAACATACACATACCTTCAAAAAGGACAGGTAGCTGGAAAAGCATTCCAACTTTGCGGCGAAGGTCAAGCACCTCAAGATCACAAATGTCATCACCATCCAGAAAAACAGTACCAGTTGGTGGCTCCCATAGTCGATTCAGCGCCCTCAACATGGTTGACTTGCCGCTACCGCTCGGTCCAATGATCCCCATGATCTTCCCTTTCGGTATGTCCAGATTGATCTTCCCCAGTATTTGAATACCCTTGTCTGATTCTTTCGTCAGATTTCTTACTCGTATTTTCGTCTCCGGATCACACCCATTTTCGATCACGTCCACATTCAGTAGATGGTCTCGCACACCCTCTGTACCAGCACAAACAAATGACATGAGACAGAGAGAGAGAGTTGAAATGAAAACCTCCATTTTTACAAGAAATTAAGAGTAGTATTCAAATTAATGAAGTTTAGATCATGAATTCTGATGTTATGGAAAATGGATTTAATCATGTATGAAATATATGCAATGAAAACTAAATCAAACCTTGAAAGGACTCCATGAAAAGAACTGAAGATGAAGAAACTGGGGAGAGAGATGAGATATGACTGTGCAGGCATGGTGTTTGTTTTTATGGGCAAGAGAAAGAGCCTACCCCAGTTGAACAATACAGGTAAAAATGCACATGCAACTGGACTACCTTCTTCTGCCTACCCAAGTCAACTGGTACAGAGTTTTTCTGAATGTCTCTGTTACCAGTAATAAGGAATGGGTAAATTGCATTGGAGGTGCAGTAATAACTATCGTCTTATTTTTTATTCTTAATGTTTGAATTACGTTATTTTGATTATAGAGTAGTGAATATGTTTATATATAATCTCTTAAACAGATAATGTCTAAATTATTAAATAATTTTTTTATCATAAATTTATCACATAATACTTAAATATTGACAAAAAATAATTTTAATAGTTCTTAAACAAAATTTGAATAACTCTCGACAAAAAATGTATAATATATGTATTTTTTAACCAAAATTTGGATAGTTCATGATCAAAACTATGTGATTTAGATAATTATTTAACCAAAATTTTAATAAAAATTTAGTCAAAAATTATATAAATTATTTTTTTGTTCATATTTAAATATTACGTGACAAATTTATAATAACAAATCTACTTGAGAGATCATATAAAAATATATTTAATATTTCAAAGATCAAAATAATATAATTAAAATATTAAAGACAAAAATAAGACAAACTCTATAATTTAAGGAATTTTAATACAATTAACCCTAAAATATTCCATTTTTGCTGCTTGCCGAAAAACTATTCCATTTCTGTTTCTTCTTCGAGTTTTTAAAAGGAACAAGGACACATGAATACGTGTACGGTACGGGATTTCTGAAGATGCTTTTGCTTGAACTTTGTCAAGCATCCATTCTATCTTCTTGGCACCTAGGAGAATCCCCGAGTACAATATTTTTTTTCCTTTTTTTAGGCCAAATTATACCAAAGTCCCTCGTATATTGACCAAGTGCCTCAATCAACCCCGTAATTAAGAGAAAGACTATGGTATTGCCGAAAATACAATATCGAAAATTATAATTTTTTAAACTGCAACTTATAATGTATAAAAGGAGTAATCAAACCTAAACAATTTTGATCGTTTATAAAAGTTATAACTGTCAAATGTTAAGTTAAAACTTTGGATCAATAACATTTTTTGTCCTTAAAGTATATATGTTTGATCAATTTAGTCCTTATTGTATTAATTTTATTAATTTGATTTCTAAAATATTTAATTCGTATCATTTTAGTATCTACATAGACGTAGTGTTAACTTTTTTATTGAATAATCACGTGTTGTCGTGTTAGACACGTGATACCGTCTAAAAAATGACACGTGGTCACTTCTGTCAGTAAAATTTGACTGTTTATCTATATAGAGATCAAAATGACATAAATTAAATATTTTAGAGATCAAATTAATAAAATTAATGCAATAAAAATTATACCTACAAAAAATATATATTTTAAACACTAAAATTGCTATTACCCCTAAAACTTTTAAAGGTCACCTCGAACATGTCTAACCAGCGCTAAAGAATACCATTGATCATGAATATTGATTCCCACGACCCACCACCACTATCTGCTGAAGAATAGGACCACCACCAAAAAGCACTAAAAAAGTCAGCGAATTTCACACTTCTCAAGACCCAGACTAGATTTTGATCAAAAAAAAAAAACAGACCCAGACTACATGGTGGTGGACCTCTTCGCTCCACTAGCTTCTGAAATCCAAGAACATAGCACCTTAACTCGGACCCCTGTTCCAGAAGCTCCCAAAGCTCGAAATTGCATGCAAAGCTGCCCTCCTTGAGGAGCACAATGTCATCTATTTCGATGCGGATAACTATGATGAATCCTCAGACGAAGAACCGCAAACGGAAGCTGAAAACCTCGATGAAGGATGCCATGGATACCACAACCATTGATGCAACGCAAAAAAAATTGCCCAAGCATAAACCTATCCCAGAAAACCCTAAAGAGGATCCGCAGCAGACGGAAAGATAGGCTTCTGATCAAGCTATTGGGGAAAAATGTTTTCTATAAAATGCTCTACAATAGGGCGAAAAATATCTAGGGACTCCAAGGGGACTTTGAGGCCATTGACCTAGACAATGGCTTCTTCTTGTTCAAATTTGATGATGTACACCACTAGTTAAGTTATAATATAAAATGCAGTAAGTAGAAGGGGAGAGAAGACAAAATTTATAATGGTTCGGTCAATACAACCTACGTCCATTTTGAATGATTAAGTTCGCCGGAATTTTATTATCTCTGGTGTAAAGGGAGAGCACATGATTACAAATTTTGAGAGGGGAGGAGAGAATTATGCTCAAATGAGTCTGATACCCCCCCAAATGTCAGTGGAGCTTTCAATTTATAGTGGTTTGACATAGTAATTATATGACTATTCTGACGATCATTATGGCTTATGACCGTTTGATAGTAATTAGGTAGCTGATCCGGTAGATACGATCTACCATCTTCTCAACGGGCGAGGTGTGACGGTTGGTGTGCTCTCCAAATGACTTGATCAAGGATGAGGGAGGTTGAGTCTCTCCAGACTGCGAGGGTGAGGCTCCTGGATGCTCCTTGGTGGCGTAGAGGAGGCTCTTGGATGACTCTTTTGGATGACCCTTATTCCAAGGTGGTAGAAGAGACTCTTAGATGACCCGTACTCCAAGATGGTAGAGGAGGCTCTTGGATGACCGTACATGCTCCCATGCTAATGTAGCTCCTTGATCTTGATAAGGTTATTCGAGTGTAGACTCCTTTGGGCTTAACTAGCTGGATCTCTTGAAATTAGGCATTTAGCTCGGATCAGGCTTCTAACATGGGTTGGGCCTGACCCATCATTTGCCTCCCAATGCCATGCGTCCAACAGAACTTAGAAAGGAGGGCATTTAAGTTGAATTTGAATTTTTGGCTGACCAGTATAACTGAAAAAATTTTGGGAGGCCAAAACATCCGTTTATAGGCCTTTTTTTGACTTTTAACAGCATCATTCATAGCCTTAGGCTTTGAGTATTGTAGGGGTCACCGATAGTTTTGATTTGATATATTACAAGTCTTATTTCAAGCAATAGAACAAAAATTACGGTCAAAATTTTGAGTAGAGAGCTAGGCGAGCAAGCAGCTGTCCAGACGAGTAAAACACTGTTCTGGGTGAGCAGGATTTTTTTTTTTTTAAATTTCGGGAGGCCAAAACACCTCTTTCTGAACATTTTTTGGAATTTTTTTGAAAAGCTCATTACTATAAGTAATGAGTTTTGCTCAGCTCGTCAAGAGTTTCGATTTGATATATAATATGTCCCATTTTAACTTACATAGCAAAATTTACGGCCAAAATAGCGAGTGGACGCGCTGGGTACGAGTTTGGACGAGCAGGCACTGCTCTGGGCGACCATGCAACTGGGCACGCTATTTTGGGAGAGCAAAAGGCCTTGGGTGCCTTTTAGGATACTAACTTGAGGAACTTGGGCGAGCAAGAGGCCTTGGGTGAGCTGGGGAATTGCCTAAGCGCCACTCTAGGTCGTCTTGAGGAGCAGCCTGCTCGTGTAGGAGGGGTGGTCCGGTATGGAGATGGGAAGTAGGAGTCGAGAAGGGCCTGAGCGAGCAGGCGGTATCGCTGTGCATTACAACAGTTCACGCAGTAGGTGAGGAGACTGCTCGAGTCTTCATGCATGTTGGCCTGCACGCTGGGCGTGCTGATCTGGTCCATCAAGCGCCTAGGGGCGCTGATCCTGGTGAGCAGTGAGGTGGAAAGAAAGTTGGTCTTGGCGTGAAGGCACCAAGAGGCGCCATTTTGGGCGAGCACAAATTGTTAGGCGCTTGCAGAACTACTTCGCTTGTACGAGTAGAGGGGATCAAACACCTCTCTAGGCATTGGGCTGCCCATTTGGGCAAGTAGAGGGGGTCAGACGCCTCTCTATGCACTGGGTTGAGTAGTGCAAGCTACAAGAAAATTTTAGGTGCCACTTTTGGTTATGATTCGAGGAGTTCAGGTAGCCAAGGAGGTTTGGATGCCCTTGTAGGGAGTTTAGTTCTCGTCCATGCAGGCGGGGTTGCCCAGGAATTTCTTGGCGAGCCTGGCTCTGGATCCGGGGGTAGAGTACGCCAGACACTTTCAGCGGTGATGGACCAGCTCCTCTCGTGCACCTTCTCAAAATCAAATTCTTCCATGATATTCTGAGGATTGTTTCTACTTATCACATCCCCCAATAGTTTTATGTCGCTGAGCTGAGATGGGTGAACCTGCTTATGATGACAAAAATAATGTTATTCCAAACATTAAAATATTTTACATGATTACTTGAAGAGAGAGGCAGGCCGCTTGCGCGAGAGCAAGACAGAGTTTGAGGATTGCTCGTGAGAGAGCTATTCTTTTTGAGACTGAGTTTTTGGCGACCTATGAGAGAGCCGGGAGATAGACTGCTTGTTTGAGAACAGTGCAGAGGTCAAGCTTTTTTGGCAACCCGCGAAAGAGCTGCTAAGCTGGAGATAGGTTGCCTGTTTCAGAACAGTGCAGAAGTAGGCAAGCTTTTTGGTGACCCTTTAGAGAGCCGCTAAGCTGGAGATAGACTACCTGTTTAAGAACAGTGTAGAGGTAGGCCAAGTTTTTTGGCGACCCTCGAGAGAGCCGCTAAGCTAGAGATATACTACCTATTTGAGAACAGTGTAGAGGTAGGCCAAGCTTTTTGGCGACCCTCGAGAGAATCGCTAAGCTGGAGATAAACTACTTTAAGAACAGTGTAGAGGCAGGTCAAGCTTTTGGCGATCCGTGAGATGATTCACCTCGCCTGGACCTGTTGATTTTCTCAGCATTCATAAATTTTTGAACTTTTGCCAATAGTTATGTCATGCTCTTTTGGTGGACATTTCATCACGGAGAAAAGGAAGCTCGATGACCAAAGGCCTCCTAAGAAGACGGTCATGCTGACTTTTTCATCGGGCTCTTCGATCTGAAGGAGCTTCTCATTAAAACAAGTGAGGTAGCTTTGCAGACTCTCATCTCGGTCCTACTTT